GGTGACTGGTGTAGGCACAGGCATCTGGCTGCAGCGGGGGACACACGCTGAGCAAGGCAGGGGCCAATGGCCACCCCCAAGTGTTCAGGAGGAAAGCACGTCCCTGTTCCCTAGAGCATGTAGATGGATGGATTTTGCAGCTGGACTATGAGCATTCAGTGCTGTTGGCTGTAAGGACTAGGGGGCTCCTCTTGTTCTTGGGCCCCCATTGCAGGTGGCTAGATGGCATGGGTGGAGCCACCAGTCCTCAGGCCCCTGACATGGGTAGGTGAAGACCCTGCTTAATGGGTAGAGCAGTGTCAAATGTCACGAACATGCCACTTCACAGCTGAAACAGTTGAAGTTAGACTTCAGGTATGCACCTGTAGTAATGTGGTGATGAGGGCCTAAGCTGTTGAAATGGGCCCACACAAGACCATGCAGGGGGAAAGGCACTCAAAGACCATGAACCCCTTATGCCTGTGCCTAGGCAAAGGAGCTGTGCCTACCCTGAGTTCCTGGCTTAGGGAAGCTGGCAGATTATTTTTTCCCGTTTGTTAATTTGTTCCCTCTCCAAGGCTGGGAGACTGGCTCAGGGAGTGTGACAGGTCCTACTTCCGGCCCAGGGGACTCGGCGATCGCTGAAGCCGTCCCAGACCCAGTGCAGAGCAGGGAGCGTGGAGGTAAATGGGAGAGAGGTTTTTTTCCCAAAGGGGAGTGTTTTTGATCTGCTTGGTAGGCCAGATGCAAGTATTTATCTTTCACCGATTGAGGGCTGCTTCTCACTGGTTCTGGACAGCTGCGTAGACTCTCTGTCACTGGGTATCTCCCAATGTGGAAAATGCCTCCAGAGTGCTGCTGCTTGCCTCACTGTGCATCACAAGCTGATCCAGCCTGAAGGGCTCTGGCTACCACTGGGTCAGGTCTGGCAACTCCTTGCTGTTTGTGAACCGTCTCTCCCTCCTGCTGGCACTCAGTCTGATTCCTCAACTTTGCCTTTGATGTTCAGGGCTCCTAGATTGTCATATATAATTGATTCACTTGTTTTTTCGGGTCTTTGTTGTAAGAGGGACCACCAGAAACGTCTGACTACCCTGCCATCTTGGCCCCGCCTCCACCTTCAATTCTTTTGAGTATATATCTAAAAGGGAATTATTGGGTCATGTTTGGCAGCTAACCAAAAGGTCAACAGTTGAAATCCACCAGCTGCTTCTTGGAACCGCTATGGGGCAGTTCTACTCTATCCTATAGGGTTGCTATGAATGGGAAATGACTTGATGACGAGTTTGGTTTTTGGTTTTGGTATGGTAATTCTATGTTTAACTTCTCGAGAAACCACCAAACTGTTTCCTACAGCAGCTGTACCATTTTATTTTCCCACCAGCAGTGTACGAGGGTTCCAATTTCTCTACGTCTTCACCAACACTTGTTGGTTTCTATTTTTCTGATTGTAGCCATCCTAGACTTGAGGGCAATGGGGGTGTGTGTGTGTGAGTGGGGGTGAAAGGAACCCTGGTGGTGCAGTGGTTAAGCACTCAGCCACTAATCCAAAGGTCGGCAGTTTGAAGCCACCAGCCCCTCCACTGGAGAAAGGTGTGACAGCCTGCTTTGTAAAGATTACATACAGCCTGAGAAAACTTATGTGGCAGTTCTGCTCTATCCTATAGGGTTGCTATGAGTTGGAATTGACTTGAAAGCAACGGGTTTTAGTGGGGATGAAGTGGTGTCTCATTGTGGTTTTGATTTGCATTTCTCTAGACTAAGGTGGCTATGAGTCTGAATCCACTAGGTGGCAATGGGTTTGGTTTAATGACTAATGACCTTCAGCATTTTTTTTATTTATTATTGTACTTTAGATGAAGGTTTAGAGAACAAACTAGCTTCTCATTAAACAATTAGTACACATTGTTTTGTGACATTGGTTACCAACCCCACGACATGTCAACACTGTCCCCTCTCTATTGGGTTCCTTATTACCAGCTTTCCTGTCCCCTCCTACCTTCTAGTCCTTGTCCCTGGGTTGGTGTGTCCCTTTAGTCTCATTTTGTTTTATGGGCATGTCTAATCTTTGGCTGAAGGGTAAACCTCAGGAGTGAATTCATTTCTGAGCTAAAGGGGTGTCTGGGGGCCATACTCTCGGGCTTCTCCAGTCTCTGTCAGGCCAGTAAGTCTGGTCTTTTTTTGTGAGTTAGAATTTTGTTCTGCATTTTTCTCCAGCTCTGTCCTGGACCCTCTGTTGTGATCCCTGTCAGAGCAGTCAGTGGTGGTAGCCAGGCACCATCTAGTTGTACTGGATTCAGTCTGGTCGAGGCCGTGGTAGTTGTGGTCCATTAGTCCTTTGGACTAATCTTACCCTTGTTTCTTGTTGTCTTCATTCTCCCTTGCTCTTGAAGGGGTGAGACCAGTGGAGTATCTTAGATGGCTGCTCACAGGCTTTTAAGACCCCAGATGCTACTTATCAAAGTAGAATGTAGAACATTTTCTTCATAATCTATGTTATGTCAATTGAGCTAGATGTTCCACAAGACCATTGACCTTGAGCATCTTTCCATGAGCTTATTTGTACATCTTCTTTGGTAAAAAAATCTGTTCAAGTCCTTCGCCAATTTTTTTATTGAGTTTTTTTGTTGTTGTTAAGTTGTAGGGGAATCAGTCTTTTAAAAGGTTCCTTAAGGGCCTGTGACCCTATCTCTCAGCTAAGGCTGGAGATGGGAGAGGAAGGGAGAAGGGGGTAGCTGGACAGGAAATGCTTCCTCAGGATGCCCTGGGGGGAGGTAATGGAGGCAGAGGATGCTTTATATTTAGGTTGATGATTTAGTCTTTGAAGTCACAAAGAAGGCAGAGGGCAGTCACCACATCAAGCAATCTCAGCCCCCACTTCCCCTTCCCAGCCAATAAGCTTACAAAAGTGGGTTTAGTGCAAATAAAGGAAGGGGAGCACTAGTGTAGGAGCAAACTTGAGGCTAGTTATCCTAGGATGCTGAAAGTGTACATAGAGACAGGAAGAATTTAGATTTATTTGGGGTTGGCAGGCCCCTAATTTAAGGGAGGAGCCCTGGTGGCTTGGTGGTTAAGAGTTCAGCTGCTAACCAAAATGTCCATAGTTTTGCTCTACAGGGCAGTTCTACTCTGTCCTATAGGGTCGCTATGAGTCGGAATCGACTCAGTGGTAACGGATTTGGCTTAATCTAACGGAAGTTGTGGGCTATCCTTGCCTGAAGCTGACAAGCTCTCATGCCCTGGCCCCAGCCTCAGCGCCCAGCAGTGAGGACTCAGGGTGAGACCAGAGAGGAGAGGAATGGAGAGATCTGGAGGGAGGGGAGAAGCGCAGTTGAGGGGCTGTTGTGGGTGATCTCAGTCTTCTCACTATAACAGAAGACTAGGGGAGGGAGATAAGTCTGAAGCAGAGACACCAAGGGAGCTCAAGGACCCCTCCTGTGACCCCTTCGGTGGGGGCAATGGTTTAGCAGTCAGGTATTTTCTAAAAACAACAATAATAATTTGAATCAGAATGCCATTAAGGCAGGGCGTGAACTCACCTGTTGTCACAGTCCTCACCCCTTTCAGTCTCATACCGAGGAGACTCAGCTTCCCTATATTATGTGCGAGGAGTCCCTGGGTAGTGCACATGGCTACCACACTCGACTGCTAACCTAAAGGTTGGCAGTTCAAGTCCACCTAGAGGTACTCTGGAAGAAAGGCCCAGTGATCTACTTCCAAAAAATCAGTCATTGAAAACCCTGTGGAACACAGTTCTACTCTGACATGCATGGGGTCGCCGTGAGTCAGAGTCGACTTGACAACATCTGGTTTAATATCACCTGCCTGGCTTCCAAAGGTGTTGGATTTTTGTCCCTGGAGACTCCTGTGAGACATCAGCAATGGCATCCTTGGAAACACTGGAGACGAGCAAGGAGGCTCCCAACCCCGTGGGCCCTAGCTTTTCCAGCCCCAGCAATAAGTTTAACTGGCACCTGGCTTGGCTCTCCCCTCCTACCTCAGATGCTGCTCTAGTATCTGGGGCACTGCTGATATTTTGGGTGAGACAGTTCTTCACAGTGAGGGACTGTCATGCATTTCTAGACATTTAGCATCTCTGGCACTGCCCAAGTTTCCCAGGTGGTACAAACTGTGCTCGACTATTAACAGGAAGTATGCCAGTTCAAACCCACCCAGCGGCACCACGGAAGAAAGTCCTGGAGATCTGCTTCCATAAAGATTGTTGTCGTTGTTAGGTGCTGTGGAGTTGATTCCAACTGATAGCAACCCCATGTGACGGAGTAGGACTGCCCCATAGGATTTTCTAGGCTGTAATCTTTATGGGAGCAGATCGCCAGGTCTTTCTCTTGTGAAGCCGCTGGGTTGGAATCCTCTCGACCACAATTTTTTTTCTTTTTTGGCGCTGCCCGTAACTGCCAATAGCGCCCCCTAGTGTTTGTAATAACCACACATTTCTAAATGCTTCTTGGAGGTAGTATGGTCCAAGGTGGAGAGCTACTGGATCCCCTGAGTTGTGCTGGGGAAGTGACTTCCTCCCAATCCCTGCCAATCTTTCCTGGCATAGAAACAGAGACGTGGAAGCCAGTGGCACGCACTGTTTATTGTGCCCGCAGGTGAAGGAGAAAAGAGAGGGGGTGTGCCAAGAGTTTGGCCAGATGTGAGCAGGACAGAAACTGTGGAGAGCTTGAAGCAGGCTCAAACCCATTTCCCTATCCTCGGCCTCCCCAGCCAGAGCGTGGGGACTGGGGAAGTGTCACTTAATCTTAAGTAAAAATATACTCAGAGAGACAGATTGTGGGATAAATCCAGCCACCAGGAGCCTGGCTGGGGAGAAGGGGAAACCCTTTGGGCTGTTAGAGTGGGCATGTAGGTCCCACCTATAGCATTAACATGGCATCTGGGGCCCAGGCGCTGCCTCCTGGAGCCCCTTCCATCACCAGAGACTAGAGAGTGAGGAGTACCCTCTCCCACCCCACCCCCCACCTCTCTGGGTGGTAGGGAGCCAGGTTCCTGGAGCTCCTCTATCCCCACATGGTCATCTTCAGCCACTGTGGGGAGAGAAGAAACAGGTTTGTGGATGGGAAGGGATGGGGAGTGGAGCAGGGTGGCAGGGGGTGCAGAGGGTGTATAGGGTCGTGGGGCGAGGGTGCCAGAAGATCTCCTCACACCCCCTCCTCTATGTACCTGGTCCAGGTTCAAGCTAATATATCCAGTATTCTTCTGGTCCATGGTTAGAAAGAATGCTGTTTTGGAGAGGAGGCAGGGGCAGAAGGGGTTGAGAGCTAAGCCAGTGGTCTGAAGATCCACTTCCAAATAGGTAGGATGTCAGAAAGGGCATAAGAAGCCCTGTTCCTTGCTTTTCCCCAGCTAGACCCCCTAGCTCAGCAGGGAATTAATGATAACTCTCATATAGCCTTGCTATGAGCCACCCAGTTCTAAATGCGTTCCGTATACTAACTCTTTTTAATCTGCACTTCAATCTTGTGAGGGCAGTATTGTTATCATCCACATTTTATAGATGAGGGAGTAGAGACATAGAAAGATAAAGTGGCTTGGCCAAGTCACACAGCCAATAAGTGGTAGAGCTGGGATTTGAAGCTAGTTCATCTGGGGCCAGGGTTTGTGCTCTGGAAGTGGTTCTGGAACAGCCCTCCTGGGGTGGGCGTCGGGGAGGGTCAGTGGTCCCCGGGCCTAGGCAGGGGGAGTGGACTCACCGAACATGGCCTTCAGCTTAAGGACGCAGCTGATGAAGCTGTTGAAGCTCATGATCATGTTCTCATCTGCATACCTGGCCACGAGCATCTGCATCACCTTGTTGTTCAGCTTTATGCCTGAGAGTGAGAGGTGTGGGGTCAGGGAGAATTCAGCTCCACTGCCTCCCCACTCCTTGCCCCGAAGCCCGCTCCTGATCCCTGGCCACCTGCTTTCTCAATCGCCAAGCGCATCTCATAGGAGTTCATGGTGCCTGACTGGTCCTGGTCACACTCTCGGAAGATGTCCTATAGGGACAGACAGAGGTGGTAGGGCCGTATGCATGGCATGGTGGTGGTTGTTAAAATACTGAACTACTTCAGTACAGGTGGCTCACACTGCTGCTCAAGATCGCAGGGGCTCCGCTCCCTGGCCCACCTCCTGAGCCGCCAGTCTTCCCAAAATCTAGTGACCAAAGGGTGAATTCCAGGCTTAGCAGGCACCCTGTCCAGTGCTCTCTGCACACTTCCTCCTTTACAATTGGTTGATAACCTGGGCCAGACTAGTTGTCAGCCAGTTTGATTGGTTACTACCACAACGCTCCAACAGATCCACCTGGTGTGTGTGTGTGTGTGTGAATGTGTCTGTGTGCATGCGTGTGTGTGTGTGTGTGTGTGAGTGTGCACAAGTGTATATGCATGCATGCGAGTGTGCGTGTGTATGTGTGAGTGTCCACATGTGTGCGCACACGTGTGAATGTGTGCATGTGTGCTTGCGTGTGTGTTGTCAGGGGCTCTAGCTCTAGCTTCATCCTTACGACTCCCCATTCCTTTTGAGGACCTCCCTCTCTCACCCCATAGTCTGCCCCTTCAGTGCCCTTTACCGTCCACTTTTTAATTCTTTTCCACAGGATCTGGAACTCCAGAAGTCCCAGCTTGCCAGAGCCATCTTTCTGGGTGGGTGGGGGGTGGTCAAGGATAACAGAGAAGGGGTGAAGAGGGTGTTCTGGGGGCAAGGGGCAGAGGGGCTTGCCCAGAAGGGAGCACAAGACCAGGGCTCTGCATATGGTAACAGCCAGAAGCACAGGAATCATTGGCTACTTCAGAGCCTAATCCCCACCAGAAAGGAGGGCGTGGCTGGCCAGAGAGGTGGCTGGCTCTGGGCCAGCCTGGGGGTGGCAGGGGTGGGAGGTCAAGAGGCCCACTGGACAGGAAGATACATCCATGAGGTTGACCATACAGCGGCAGGTATTCAAGCTGAAGCTCTTGGTCCTGAGTTCTTTGACTGTGAAGAAGGGAAGGAGTAGGGAGAAGAGAGAGTGAAGTGGTATTGTGGGGGGCACAGGGAGTGGTCAAGATGGGGTACAGTCTATGGGGGAAGGGTTGTGAGCTGTGGGGTGGCTGACTCACGTTTGGTGGCTACTTTGTTGAGCAGCTTCTGTAGCTCATACACGTCAATCTCCTTGTCCTGGGAAGGGGGACCGTAAACCCCTGCTCTGGCCCTGCAGCCCCACCCACATCCACCTCCCTCCAGCACCCCTAGCCCATAGCTCTCTCACCTGTCCTGCCACTACCTCAAACAAACGTATGAAGTCTGGATCTAAGTCATTTTCAGAGACATTCTCCTGGATGGAAAGGAGTGGGAAAGGGGGCGTGAGGCCCAGTCCAAAAAACCTGACCCCCAATTCCTTCACATCCAGATGCTTCCTCCCAACCCCTCAACCCTCCAGCCTCCAGCCTCACCTCTTGGAGCAGCTCAGCACAATTGACTTCATCCAGTTCACTGGGGAAAAGTGATTGACGGCTCAGGGGCTACCAAGGGTGAGGGAGGCAGGGATTTCAGTGGGGTGGTCAGGGAGAGGTTGGTCAGGGAGTGATCATGTCATGTATCTGAAGCCATATGGAACAGGCTCCATGGGACCTGAGTTCTAGTTCTGGCTCTGCTGCTAATTGGGATTTCCCCTTCTGATGCCTCAGTTTCCTTGGTTGTAAAATAGGGACAGAGTAGGGGAGGACAAGATGGTGGCTCTCTGAGCTTGACATCAGGTTGCCTTGGGGCAGGGTGGTGGTGCCCTCACCAGGACTCGCTGTGCTTCTCTGTGAAGACCCGAAGCAGGAAGTCGGCTTCCTTGTTCTGGTGGAAGGTGGAGGGAATGATGATATATTCTCCCGGAGACAGCCGGAGCTGGCTGCTCACCTCCCGTGAGTGGGAGAAGATCTCTGAGAAGCCTTGGTCCTGATATTTCAGGAAGAAATCTTTCTTCAGGTGGATATTCTTGATGTTCTGAAACTATATGTGCCCTGGAGGTGGGTACAGGCTGGCATGGGGGAGCACCGGGGAGGGTCCCAAGGTGAAGTCTAGCTGGGCAGGGGTAAGGGGAGACACCACCACCACCTGGCTTGCCTTAGACACGGCCCAAAGGGCAAGTAACCTGAATATGGACTCTTCCTTCCGCAACCCCCATCCAGTGCCCAAGGGGGCTGGAAGTCCCAACCTAGTGCCCCCAGAGCCCTTTGCCGAATTCTACTGCTTGCCCAACCCGTGTAGCCAGGGGTGGTGAGGGTCCTGCCCTGGATCAAGCCCCATGTCTTCTGTACCTCCTTTGGGACCTGGGAAGGGAAGAAAGAGGAAGATCAGGTCTCTAGGGGTGAAGGGACTCAGGCCTACAGAAGCTAGGTGGGGTGTGAGTAGTGTGTGTTGAGGGGGGCTTAAGGGTACTGATGTGCTGGGAGTGGGGTGGGGGCTCTGATAGATAAATGGTCCTGGCATTAAGAATCCTTCAGCTTTGGACAGTGAAGTACAGTTTCGCAGTGTTTTGCTGGGGAAGATTTTTGTCACGGAATCCCAAAGAGGCGAGGTGACTCGCCCAGCTCCACGTTGCCTAAAAAGGGAAGAGCTGGGCTGAAAATCTAGGAGAGTGTTTTGCAAAACACTCTTTCCTGGAATGCTCATATCCTCCAGGAAATTAACAGGCAATTATTAAAAGGAGGATGGGTATTGAGGACAAATAAGCTTATAAGAAGATAAGGTAAACTACATTAAATAGGTTTCTCTACCACAGGGGTGATCAGAGCTGTTAGTATGCTGATTTGCACCCCAGAGCTCTGGGCTGGAGGTAGAGAATATCGCCTTTCCTGACCCTGTTGAACCTTGGAGACTTTGTCTGGAGGTGTGTCTGTTAACCTGGTAGACTCAGAGCCTAGGAGGAGCGCAAGGCTTGTGTGCGTTTTTGCTCACCATTGAACCCCTGGAAACTGGACTGGAGCCGGACATATGGTAACCAACCAGTTGCCGTGAGTCTACACCGACTCATGGTGACCCCATGTGTGTCAAAGTAGGACAGTGACCCATAGGGTTTTCAATGGCTGATTTTTCAAAAGTAGATCGCCAGGCCTCTCTTCCGAGGTGCCTCTGGGTGGACTCGAACCTCCAACGTTACCAGCCAAGTGTATTAACTGTTTGCAACACTCAAGGACTCTGGACGTACTCAAGAAATACTTGTTGAATATCCAAGTAAATGAATGCATGACTGTTTCTAGAATTTTGCGAAGCATGGTGTGGGAAACGCTTACTGGGGACTTTTCCTGACTCTTGGGATCAATGTGGGTAAGAGCTCAGCTGCTAACCAAAAGTTCGGCAGTTCGAATCCACTAGCTGCTCCTTGGAAATCCTACAGGGCAGTTCTACTCTATCCTATAGGGTCCCCGTGAGTTGGAATCGACTCAAAGGCAACGGGTGTTTTTTTTTGGTTTGGGGGTCAATGTGGTGGGCGGGGCATCTGGAGGGGCTTCTAGGGGGCCAGCCCTCAATCTCCTTCCTCTTTATTAAGAGCCTTTGGAACAATGCCTGGCACAGAGGAAGTTCGACCCAAGTGTTTTCGATTTTGATTGAAATCTGCGAAAAGAAAGCTGCCAGCCCTGTCTCATAAAGCACAAAGCACCTCTCAAAAGCCAGGACTGTGGAGCGTATTGGAGCGTGTGCCCCTCCTAGTGGGCAGTGGCCTTGGAGAGAAAGGGTCTTAAAGGGGCGGGGCCGGGTGAAGGAGCAAGAGCGGCTGGGGGACCAGCTGGGGTGCCCACCGAGAAGATGACAAAGCCAATGGTCTCCACATCACCAAACCGCCGCATCCGCCGCCAGTTCTTTTGCATCAGGGCCACCAGGCAGGTGCAGATGACTTCGTTGTCTTCCGAGTCGTCCTGTTCCAGGAGACTGATCTTAAACTGGGGGTTGGTCCAGAATGTGTCTGTGGACGAACAGGTCAGCATGATTATGCCCTTTCCAGGGTGGACCCAGCTTCCCCAGCCACATGCCTCCCTCCTCCATGGGCTGGGGGAAGGGTGGGGGCTGATTGGCCCCTGACCTTGTGAACGCTGATGCCTGTGACCTGGTGTCCCAGTCCTGGTTTCCTGGTGAGTCAGTGGCCCATCCCTCACTCCCTGCCCTCCTGTCCCGTCACCCACCGAGGTTGTCCCTGCAGCCCCCTGCGGTGCTGCCTCGACGCCAGCTGCCCTCATAGAAGGAGGTGTGCCAATAGCTCCTGTAGTCCCCAGAGAGCGCGTCTGGCGTCAGGTTGCAGATTTCCAGGAGTGTGTAGTTATCCAGGAAATCTTGGAACGTCATCCTGAGGTGGAGGGGGTGGTGGGTGGAGCCTGTCATCGGCACACCCATGGGCCTGTTTCCCTGGGGGTCCCCTGGAGCCTCTCCATCCAAGGCACAGGTAGGAGGATGGCAAGGAGATGAAGGAACAAGGAGTGGGGGGAAAAGGAAGCCCACCAGAGCCATACTGACCAGAACTCTCCATCCTCCTTCTTGTGCCACAGCTGCTTCTGGATGTCTGGGGGCACCTCTTGCCACTCTCTGGAGCTGGGGCAGAGGTTGGCAGTGGAGGGAGAGTGGCAGGCGTCAGGAGGCCGCTCCTCCTCCCCAAGGGATTCCCTCATCCCGGAATGCCAGCCTACTGGAGGTCCTGAGTTAGATAGAGTGGCTTGCTCTGGTGCCCAGGTTGTCCTCCCAAACAGGACACCAGCTGGTCTCCCTGTGGCATCGCTTTGCTCCTGGGGCCTGCTGGGTCCTCTGCCCACCCCACACCTGAGAACACCGGGCTGAGGCCACCTACTTGTCACTCCAGGCGCCAGTCCACTCAATTCGGCCCCAGGGATTCCGGAGCCGAATCAGTGTTTTCATCTTGCCACGGTGGAAGACCTGGGGGGATCAGGAGTTAAAGGTCAGGGGCAGAGGGTCAGGAGGGGCTTCTCTTCCTTCTCATGCCCTTCCGGGTAGCGGGCAGTTGTCAGGACTCACATCCTGAAGGCCAGTCACTGAGTAAGCATGTCCTCGCACCAGATTCTTCTGGGTCAGTGATTCCAAGTCATCACTGCTGTCAAACTACAGAAGAGAGGAAGGGAAGGAGCTGAGGATCTGGTCAGAGGGGCTGGGGCACCTGAACACAGGTGACAACTCTCTGGGCTCATTTTTTTTTTAAATTAAACTTGTTATTTTGAGAGAATTGTAGAGTCACATGCAGTTGTAAGAAATATAATATAGAGAGCTCTCATGTACCTTTTGCTCAGTTTGCCCTAGTAGAAACAGTTTGCAAAACTATAGTACAGTATCACAGGAAGCTGACATTCACACAATGCAGCAATCTTATTCCGATTTCCCCAGTTTTACTTGTGCTCATTTGCGTGTGTTCTATGCAGTTCTACCACATGTGTCTGTTCATATCTCCACCACCACAGGCAAGACGTAGAACTCTCCGGGCATCACCAACATTCCTTGTGTTACCCTTTTAAACACACCTGCCTTCCTCCCACTCCACCCTCTTCCTTAACCCTTGGCACTAATCTCTTCTCCATTTCTATAATTTTGTCATTTTAAGTATGTTATATACATGGAATCATGTAACATTTTGGGATTAGCTTTTCTCATTCAGCAATAATTCCTTTGAGCTGCATCTGAGTTTTTGCATGCATCGACAGTTTGTTCCTTTTTTTTGATGCGTTTCTTTATTAACCCATTAATTAATTAGCAAGAGCCACTGGTGGGTCTGATGGTGACCGTCACTTCCCACCGAGATGAGTGAAAACTTCTCTCTGAGCTGCCTTGACAACGTATTGTGATAGGAAGGTGCCTCCGATTCACTGGTTGTGGCCTGTCACCTCTATTCATAAAGGAAGAAAATGCTAATTTTAGTTCAAGATCAGCCGCTATCAGTAGTTTTCTCATCCAAGTCCGTGTACCCATAAATTTCACCCACGGGCCCTGGAGGGGGTGTGGACTCTGGCTCTAGACCCACTGTAGGCTCAGTCGGTGTGGAGCGGGGTTTGCTGCCTTAAGGCGGGGCTCAGCTAGCTGTTTCTATCAAGGGCCTGGTAGAAAATATTTTCAGCTCTGCTGCCCTAAGGCCTCTGGTGCCCCCACTCAGCTCGGCATTGTGGCTGATAGTCTAAGCAGGCAAGCGTGATTGTGTTCCAATAGAACGCCGTTTATGTACACTGAAATTTGAGTTTCATGGAATCCTCACATGTCACAAAATGTTACTCTTCTTTTAAATATTTCATTGTGTGTTCGGTGAAGGTTTACGCAGCAGTTTAGGTTCCCACTCAACAATTTCTACACAAGTTGTTCAGTGACATTGTTTACATTCTTCACAATGGATGAACATTCTCATTATTCCTGCTCTGATTGTTCTGTTTCTGTTTCCATTAGTCTAGTTTCCCTGCCCTCTAACATTCTCATCTTTGTTTTAAGGTAAATTGTTGGCCAGTTTCTTCCTTTGTATTGCTGAGTAGTACTCCATGGTGTGGATGTACCAGTTTGTTTAATCATTCACCCACTGAACGACGTCTACATTGTTTTCAGTATTTGCCTATTATGAATAAAGCTGCTATGAACATTTGTGTACAGGTTTTTGTGGGAACATGTCTTCGTTTCTCTGGGATAAATGCCTAAGAGTGCAATTGCTGGGTCATTTATTTTTTTGAACAAGTAATTGTTGAGAGCCTACTGTGTGCCAGGTACAGTCCCAGGTCCCAGATAACTGGGATCCAGTAGTGACTGAGAAAAATAAGTTCAGTGCCTTCATGGAGTGTGAAAACTGTCTGGAGGAAATGGACTACGAATAAATACATAGATAAGGAAGGTAATTTCAGGTCATGATAAACACTGGGGAGAAAATCAGAACAAGATAGAGAGTAAATGGGGTGGGACAGCTAATTTAGATTGAAGGACAGAGAAGGCCGGTTTGGAGAAGTGGTATTGAATTGAGATGTGAATGATAAGGAGCTAACCATGCAGATATCTCGGGAAAGAACATTCTAGGTGAAAGCAACAGCAGGTGCAAAAGGCCCTGAGGCAGGACCAAGCTCGGCCTCTGAGGATACTGGGGTTTGGCTTACTTCAATGGAGCAGCCCACGAGAGAGGCTCGGTCCAGGGCCTTCCTAAGGAGCCTTAGCAGGTTCTGAGGGGGCTTCTGGAGTTGGAAGCTCTGGGCCACGCCCCCAGTCAAGTCCTCAAAGCCTTCTACAGTGTTGCCCCCTGACAGCGCTTCGTAGGATCCGTTCAGCCTGTGGGCATGGAAAGGGTACAGTTTGGGCTCTGGGATGGCGGTGTGAACTTGGACATCCGAGGGAAGGAGAGATGCCCTGCCACTACCCTGCCGCTGCCTCTGATTCCAGCTGCCCCTGCGACTGCCAACTGCCAGAGGAGGCTTGGAGGCAAGCCCCCTTCCTTGGCTCTGGGCACTCACTTGGCATACGCCTTCTCCAGCAGGGCACTCCAGAACTCGGTGGCCTCGGCTGAGTGCAGGAACATTAGCTTGTGATTTCTTGTGGGTAGCCGGTCATCCACCACCACGTCCACCCACTGCCCGAACTGCCAAACCTGTGGGCAGTAAGGTGGGCCTCAGTGGGCAGCCTTTTGCTTCAGAGCCCCTCTTTCCCTCCCACACTACACACACACACACACACACACACACACACACGTGCATACGTGCGGGGGGACACACACACCCCTTGTGTGGGAACCCTGTCACAAAAGTTCTGCTTGGTAGTCACATCCGGGTTCTACGCCAGTGTTAGCAATCCCATCCCATAGAGTGGCTGTGAAAGGCAGTGACAAGCCTGAACTCAGACCCCCTAGCTTCTCTCCAGGTTCTGCCACAGTGTCCAGGGTGACCTCACCTACCTTTTGATCTTAGGCCCTCCTCTGAAGAAAAGACAGCTGGACTTTAGGATTTCCAAGATGTTAACAACTCTTATGATTCATTATTTAGAAATATTTTATGTTATGAGGAATTTGTCCATATGTTGCTAAATTTAAAGAGAGATTATATATATATAGATATATAGATAGATAGATAGAGAGAGAGAGAAGCAAGAGGAGGAGGACAGCCACAAACTGATAACAACTGTGATTTTCTTTTTGGGCTTTAAAAAAACCAGCTTGTACAGTTTCTCAGTGAGTAGATATTTCTCCGATAATTAGGAAAAAACTCACTCCAATAAATGTTATTTTTCAAAAAGTAAAGAAAAACGGTAAACTTCATCATAGCACATACTCATGCTCTTTCTCTTTCTCTCTCACACACGCACCCCCCAAAGCAACTATGCTATCAAATTTCCCTTCACCTGGAAATGGAAGATGCCGGCATAGTTTTTCCTGAAGCTCTGCCCCTTAGGCACCACCCGGTTCAGCAGTCTGGGGTTAATGGTGAGGGAGCCGATGGCAGCCAGCAGCCAGCAGTCCCCTGAAAAGTCAGCCAGGGGTTTTTCCACTAGGTTTTGCCCCCTCGAGAACCCTTGTATATGTGTGTGTGAGTGGGGGTGGGGGGTCCTGGAATCCAGGCCCTAGAGGAGCAGGAATCTGGCTCTGCGGGAGGCGGGGGGGCCCACACAGGCAGAGATGCACCTTCCCTCTGCCCTCCCCGCAAGGAGTGTTAAGGAAGGAGACCAGTAGGGAGAAACGGAGGACAGAGGGACAGGCTCCGGGGAAGTGAGTTTCTGCACATTTTCTATTAGGAGAGAGATTCACAAATTATAGCCAGATGTTTTTGTTTTTGGAGTTTGGGGAGGTGGTTTTTTTTTAAATTGAAATTTAGATGAAGGTTTATGGAACAAACTAGCTTCTCATTAAACAGTTAATACACATATTGTTTTATGGCATTGGTTAACAACTCCATGACATGTGAGTACTCTCCCTTCTTGACCTTGGAGTCCTTATTACCAGCTTTCCTGTCCCCTCCTGCCTTCCAGTCCTTGCCCCTGGGCTGGTGTGCCCCTTTATTCTCGTTTTGTCCTATGAGTCTGTCTAGTCTTCGGCGAAAAGGTGAACCTCTGAGTGACTGATTACTGGGCTAAAAGGGTGACTGGGGTCATACTCTTGGGGTTTCTCCAGCCTCTGTCAGGCCAGTAAGTCTGGTCTTTTTTTGTGAGTTAGAATTTTGTTCTACATTTTTCTGGGGAGGAAGTATTTTTGGCCTCAAGTTCTTGCTCCTCACTTTGGGACCTGCTTTCTTTGGGAGAGACATAATCCTCTCCCATCCCTTGGACAAATCCAGTCACCTCCCCTCACTGCACCCTTACCCCATGAGTGCAGTGGTGCAGTGATTAAGGGCCCAAGACCTCTCTCCCTGAGGTTACCCACATAATACTGGAGATTCAAGGGGCTCCAGGGAGATGCCAACTTTGGGGGATGCCAATTGCCATATTGTGTGGCCTCTCAAGTAGTCTTAGGAACTGAGGCCTCCTGCAAACAGCCATATGAGGAAGTCATCTTGTAAGTGGATTCTTAGCCCCAGTCAAACCTTCAGATGACTGCAGCCCCAGCGGACATGTTGACTGCAGCTTCATGAGAGATCTTGAAACAGACCCACCCAGCTATGTTGCTTCCAAGTTCCTGACCCACAGAAACGGTGAGAGAATACATGTTTATTGTTGCTTCAAGTCACTAAGTTTTGGGGTAACTTATTATGTAGTAATAGAGAAGTAATAACACCACCCCAGCTTGCTCCCCCAAGACCCAGGCTGCAGCAGGTGGGTGGTGGCATCCAGGCTAGGGGAGGAGCAGAGAGAACGTGCCTGACACTCTTAGAAGGAGAGGGACAGGGAACCAGAAGCAGGTTGCCTGAACCTAGGGCTTCCAGTTCTCCAGCCTCAAAAAACACTCAGCCCCCCACCCTGAGCCATCCCTTCTCCCAATGGAGACCAACTTTCCCATTCCCCACTCACCGAGTACCCCCTGGCATATGTCTGTCTGAGTGGCTCCATCTACAATGAACTGAGGGTTCCTTGTGATTTCCTGCAGTGAAGGAATCATGGTTTCAGGGAGCCCAGGACATCCTTCCCCCTCAACCTCCTTCCCACCTTCCGGGAATGACCACCTTGAAGTTCTAGGGGGAGACATGGTGAGGGGTGGGGAGGTCACAGGACCAGCTTAGCACAGCTCTAGATTGTGATAGCAAAGGCTGGTGGGAGCTTTGATAACTTTCCCAAGATTTGTCTGGGAGTTTTTCTTAAGAGTGTTCAGAAGAGTCACCATCCCTGCTGGAGGTGGAACCTAGTGCCAGGGCCAGGCTAGGGTGGTAGAGGATTGGAGTTTATCACAGTGACTGGGGCCTGGGACCTCAAGTCTGTGCCACCTTCCCAGTACCTACCTTGGGCCGCTGCCAGGAGATGTTCTGCACATTATTGGACTTGGGTCCCAGCTCCTTGAAGCCCAGTGAACTGGAGTCAGCAGGGAATAAGGGGTCCTCAAACAGCTCCCCCTTCTTCAGACAGGCTGCTTTCAGCTCCTCAAAGTTTTGGTTTCTGTAGTTCTCAGCGTTGCTGTGCTGGCCCAGGCCCTTGGCCTTGAGTCGGCTACGGTTTATGGAAGCCGCCATTCCCTTACAGGCAAAAACAACCTCCACTCAATAATAAAACGACAAATAACCCAATTTAAAAAAATGGGCATATACACCCAGGAGAAGTGAAAGCAGGAACCCAAACAGAAACCTGTACACCAATGTTCACTGCAGCACTTTTTACAATAGGCAAGAGGTGGAAACAACCCAATTGTCCATCAACAGATGAATGGATAAACAAAATGTAGTGTATACATACAATGGAATATTACTCAGCCATAAAAAGAAATGAAGTCCTAGGGCCAACAATTGCTTTAACACAAAGATGAGACTGTAAGGCGGCAGGGAAACTAGAGTAATGAAAAGGGAACAACCAGAACAGAAATAATGAGAATGTTCATACATTGTGAAGAATGTAAACAATGTCACTGAACAACTTGTGTAGAAATTGTTGAATGGGAACCTAAACTGCTGTGTAAACTTTCACTGAAAACACAATAAAATATTATTACAAAAAAGAAAAAAGAAATGAAGTCCTTACGCGCACCACAACATGGATGAATATGGAAAACATGATGTCGAGTGAAATAGGACAGTCGCCAAAGGACAGATACCGTGTTATCTCACTTACATGAAATGAGCAAATATGTAGAAACCAAAAATTATTAGTGGTTACAGGGGCAGGACGCAGGGAAGTTTTTGCTTAGTTTGCATTGAGTTTATGTTAATGGTGGTAGAATAATTTGGAAAAGGATAGAGGTAATGGTTGCACAACATGAAGAATGTAATCACTGTCTCAAATTATACATGTAGAAATTGTTGCACTGGCGAATCTTTTATTGTGTATATTTTCACCACAAAAAAAAAAAAAAGGAACTTGCCATGCATCTGCAAGGGAAAAAAAAAATGGGCAAAGGACCTGAATAGATAGTTCTCTAAAGAAGACAGACAAATGGCCGATAAGCACATGAAAACAAATGCTGAATATCATTAGTCACCAGGGAAACGCAAGCCAAAATCACAATGAGATACCACTTCACACTCACTAGGATAGTTATAATAAAAAGGAGAAATAAGAGCAAGTGTTGTCAAGGATATGGAGCAATTGGAATCTTCATACATTACTGCCAGGAATTTAAAATGGTGCAGTTGCTTTGAAACAGTCTGGCGGTTCCTCAAATGGTTAAAGATTGAGTTACCATATGATCCAGCACTTCCACTCCTAGGTATATGCCCAAGAGAATTGGAAAACATACGTCCATACAAAAACTTGTACATGAATGTTTATAGCAGCATTATTCATAATAGTAAAAAAGTGGGAAAAACCCAAATGTCCATAAACTGACGGATGGATAAATAAAACATGACATATCCATACAGTGGGATATTATTTGGCAATAAATAGAATGAGGTACGTGCAACAACATGGATGGACCTTGCTAAATTATGCTAAATGAAAGAAGCCAGTCACAAAAGACCACATATTGTATGATTCCATTTATATAGAATGTCCAGAATAGGTAAATGTATAGAGACAGAAAATAGGTTAGTGGTTGCCTAGGGCTTGGGGGGATGGGAGGATTAAGTGTAATGTCTAAAGGGTACAGGGTTTCTTTTAGGGAGATGAAAATGTCCTAAAATTGATTGTGGTGATGGTTGCACAACTCTAAATATACTAAAAGCCATTGAATTGTACATTTTAAATGGGTGAATTGTGCAGTATGTGAATTATATCTCAATAAAGCTGTTAAAAAAAAAAGGCCTCCAGACCATTCAAGACACGTCCTATTGGTGAACGTGGAAATAATGGGGTGTAGAAGACAAGAAAGGTCCCTGGGTGTCGTAAACATGTTTGTGTTCAACTGCTAACCTAAACTTGGAGGTCTGAACTCCCCAGTGGTACCTTGTGGGAGTCCTGGTGGCGCAGTGGTTCAGAGCTCAGTTGCTAACCAAAAGGTTGGCGATTCAAATCCACCAGCTGCTTCTTGGAAACTTTTTGGGGCAGTTCTACTCTGTCATATAGGATCACTATGAGTTGGAATCAATTTGATGGCTTACGGGTTTGGTTTAGTGGTACCTTGTAAGGCCTAGCAATCTGCTCCCATAAAGATTAAAAAACCACCAAACCCATTGCCATTTTAGACTTCTCCAGGACTTGATTTATGAAGGATGTGCTATGATAACCATGTTTATCCAGCGGCTTAAAAAATGTTTTTTTTTTTAAGTTCTCATGCAAAGGAGGTCCACTGGTGTTAAACCCTAGTATGAGGTCCACCAAACCCATTGCTGTCAAGTTGATTCTGACTTATAGCAACCCTATAGGATAGAGTAGAACTGCCACATAGGGTTTCAAAGGCTGTAGATTTTACGAAGCAGACTGCCACATCTTTCTCCCGCGGAGTGGCTGGTGAGTTTGAACTGCCAAGTGCTTTAACCACTGTGCCACCAGGGCTCCTTGTGGGGTCCACAGGGCCCTGAAAAAAGCTCAACATTCAGTTTAGGCTGAGCCTACTAAACAGAATCTGGTCTAAGGCTGAGAGGGGGATGACAGGGAAAGCCAAGGAGTGGGACTAGGTGGGGGTGGAGGTATGATGGCAGAGGAGGTGATCACTGTCACCACTCCGGTGTCAGGCAGCACTGGGCAGAGCCCTGGAACCCTCTCCAACAACGTGCAGCCTAGATGCGAGGGGCTCAAGCTCCCTCAGCTTCCTCACTCACAGTAGAGTCACCTGTCACCCTCCTTGTCCCCTGTGGGCCTGTCCTCCTGGATCCAAACCACACACACCAGGGGTGCCCCTTGGCTGGCCACAGTCAGCAAGCCAGCTTTTGTTCTATGCTATGAACTCAGTTTTGGGGAACACACAAAGATGTGGAAGGCTCCCAGAAGAGACTGAGACACAGGGGGAGGTGCACACTGAGGAGAGGAGGGGTCAGTTGGGGACAGAGCCACTCTTTTGGTGAGGGGGACTTGGATCCCAGCCCTCCTCCCCTAGACAAGGCCCCTGCAATCCTGGCCGTTAACTTTCACTTGGAAGGGGGAGGGTAGGTAAAACTGGAAGCCAACTCTGGGGCTCCCTATTGGTGTGGGGGGGCACAGGACCGTGAGCTTCCATACCCTCCCACCCTATCCCTCTCCCCTCAGGACATCAGGCCCTACCATCAGGCCCCACCAACCCCAATGGTTGGTTTCAATCTGAAAAATGCAGTTTGAGGTCTCTGCCTGGCGATGGGATCCCTGGAAGAGGGATGGAAAATGAGAAGAGAAGCCATAGGGTATTGGAAAGGGAATTCGATTTGGAGTCCTCTGCAGAGCATCTGACCAGCCTTGGGATCGATAACACATCATCTCCAAGGCTTAGAGAGCTTCAGGGTGTGAAGGTCCCCTCCCTGGGGGCTCCCCTCCCTGAGGAGCTGTGAGAAGGTGATGAATGTGAGAGCTAGTGTCAAGCCCTCCCCTCCTCTCCAACCTGAGCGTGTCCACCCAGGCCGTGAGATGCAGCTCAAACTGAGGAGGCTCCTCTTCCTTCTCATTCTCCTCCTCCTCCTAAATAATAGCAACAACAACTTCTGTTGAAATGGCAATAAGGAAGAGATGCGGGGTAGGGAGAGCTGTGGTCTCAGTTAAACAGATCCCCCATGGGGCTCTGGAGAGTGGGAGAAATCTACAGTGCGGAAAAGAAGGGTTGGCAGTTTACCAAAGGGGTCCAGAGGGTTCTGGGAGAACTAGATTGAACCAACAAAGGGTTGAGTTCCTCAGAGGCAAAAGCAGGGAGTCTCAGTTATTCTTCCTGCCTCAAGTTAACTGAACAAGGAGAATAGTTACAACAGAGAGTTAACACAGTACTAAGCACCAACTCTGTACCAGGAACGACAGCCTTATGAGCTGGGTCATGAAAATCCCTCGATTTCCAGAATAGGAAGCAGAAACCCAGATGGTTAGTAGCTCGCCCAAGGTCATAGAGTAAGGGTTGGGCATGGGATTAAGTCTGACTCCAGGCTCCAAACTATGCTTGTAACCTTATGCTATACTGCCTCGTGCGGAGAGGCGTTTCTCCTCAGCAGGAAAGCTTGGCGAGCCAGCGCCATCTTTGTTAACTAAGGGGATCCGCAGGGGATTTGTTGCTGAACTTGGTCTCTTGATACCCCCTTACTCTTCCCACTGCCCCAACCAAGCAAACCCATCCTCCTGTCCCAGCCTCCTCCGGACTTCCCTAGTTCTAGAAATGACCCCCTGTTCTCCCAGTCCCCCAAGTTTCCAACACACCCTCATTCCACATCAAAGTAGTTACCGAGTCCCCTTCTAGGACCCTAATCTTCCATTGTCATCATCACTGTCCTAGGCTATGACCCTATGGTAGCCCTGAAATGAGCTCTTAGCTTTCACAGACCCTCTTCAATTCAGCAGTATATAGTCACCACCACACCAATGCCCTTCGAGTGAGGGTTTGAACCCCTTACTTCCTCCAGCACCTTCAGGACATAGCTTTTTTTTTTCACTAGTTGCCCTCAAGTCAATTCCAACTCATGATGACCCCATGTGGACTCGACCCCATGTGAGTCCCCGCTCCTAATATAGTCCCTGACAGACTCTAATCCTGTTTATTGCCCGTCTGCCTTCCTGATTAGAGTGAATGCTCACGAGGACAGGGATTGTTGTCCGTTTTGTTCACTTCTATGTTCCTGCTGCTATATTGAACACGTAGTAGATGCTCACTAATGCTTTGAATGACTTTCCCAGACACTCCCGGAGGGAAGGAGGCTCCTGCTTCTTAGTTTTTCTCACAGCAAGAGGGCCCGGGAACTATCCACTGAAGGGATAGCTGTGCATGTGGTTCATCCCTGGGACCTTTCGTCCATTAGGGAGGGCTCCTCCCACTCCCCCAGCAGGTGGCCTCAACCCTCCAACCTTTTAGTCAGCAGCTGACTCAGGGATTCCCATCCCAGAGCAGGGGCCTGGTAGATGGTGGGTCACAGACTCCAATCCAGCACCGCCCATAGGCCCATGTGTGAGCTCAGGACCCAAAAGAGCCTGGCTCAGCCCAGGGAAA